CCTTAAACAAGCCACTCAAACTTTCATTCTTTCCAAGTTAGTCCTTAATTAATTAGTATCATTTTGTTTGCCTTACCAGTACAACACAGCACCTGAACTTCATTGACACAATTGGATGGAAAGGCTTAATTGTGTTTTAATTAAATGTTATTTTAAATATTTTAATAAATACAAAAAAAAAAAGGGGTTAAACCAACCCAATAGCAATCCCTTGATGTACCCAGCACACCTCAAGAAAGCAAAATGATTATTGTGGGGATTACGGAGATAAAGATGTTGCAAATTCTTTAATGGGTCTAGACACTAAGTTTAAGTGAACTATAGTTGCCAAGTAATTGGCCAGAATGAGAGTTTAACAGGCTGAAATCCCATTATTTTGAGTTGCATTTTTCACTCTCATAAATAATTAGTTTTCTTTAAATTTATCTTGGGCAGTAAGTGTATTTTCGCTTAATTATTATAATCTATTTTGTGGATATTTGCTCTTACTTGCACTCATATATCAAAACCCAAAAAAAAGAAAAAATCAAAAATCAAACCGTGGTCCGCATACAGAAATTAAGGATGTCATGCAGCCAACTGTAGTAATAGTCAGCCATAACATCATGATAATCAAGTCAAGAAAGGAACATAATGTTACAATGAAAATTGCTTTTTCTTCTCCGAATTGGAAAGTACATAGATACGTTTAATAGAGAAAGGAAGATGGCACAAACACATTGTGAACGTGGTTAATAGTGCAAACTTAATACTAAAGAATCCCTCTGGATTATCTCTTGTTAAGGATTTGACATGATATTGAGCAAGAAAATAAGAAGGAAATTATTATTAATGATGAGGTTGAAGAGACTAGGGAGGCATGATTCATGAATAAATTAATCACGTCTGAACAGTGTAATGTGGGAAAGGAATTTTCATTTTTAAATAATTACGTACCTAAACAATAAAAATGTAACAAAATGGTTCTGTTTTCAACTAAGTGACACACAATCTGCTTGATTTCTTCTTGATGTTGAAAATAAAACTGGATTGTACATATAATTTGAATTTAAGAGTTCATTTTTCGGCTAGAAAAATGAATCCAATCTCCTTGCTTAATACCCATTAGGATTGGACATACCAACTACCGATTAATGAAAAAGATCCTTTCCTTTCAAAAAAAGAAAAATCTTACCAATTGTTGAGAATGACACCAATTTCCTGATATAGGATTAAATATTATGAGTTGTTTTGTAAAAAAAAAAAAAAAAAAAAAGAAGTTGAAATCTGAATACTTCTGTCGCAGAAAAGTATACTTTATTTTTATTTTTATTTTTATTTTTTGTTGATTTATATGCCAAGTTTGGTGCAAATGTGAGTTGAAATATGAATATTACCATTGCTTAAAAAGATTTCTGCAAAAGTTGGATATATCTTGGATCAAATCTTAAAAGACATGATAATACATGGGGCATGGGGCTGCATTTTGTTGTCCATCATACAATGGGTATGAATATGATTGGCATAAAGTCATGGCAAAAGGGAGAACAGATCAAATCAAACCTAAGCACCAACAAGAAAGAGATGAAAGGAGACTAGTTAATCATGTTGGCATCACATATTTAGTTAATAGGCCAGCAAATGTGGAAATGTGAATCTAATCAATCATGTGCAAAAAGTATGGTGTGTGATGTGCAACGCTTAAGAAATTCCTATGTATGGTTTCTGATGGATAGCTATCTATTTTGTTCTTAGGATAGACGTGATTTACTCTCTGTATCCTGCTGCTTCTGGAAGTATCAAAGATTTGAAGTTTCTAGTCTTCCATTGTTAACACAGTATTCTCTAACCCATATTGCTCAGCGAGCATGTATCCTGCCTCTTTCATATCCAAGTTCAGTTTTTCCAATTCTGCATAGATCTCCTGGGACTGAGGGTGAGTTACATCACCAACTGAAAAAGCATGAACCCCCTTATCTATTTCTACCCAACTCCAACCTGCACTTTTCCTTATTCCCTTCTGCTGCATCAGCTTCCTAATTTCAGCTACTTCAGCCCATAAACCAGCTTCTGCATATATATTTGCCATTGTAATGTATGGGGCTGCATTAAGTGGTTCCATCTGGAAAAGCTTATCTGCAGCCTCCCTCCCGAGCTCTACTTCCCCATAAACTTTGCAAGAACTCAAAAAGGAACTCCACATAACATGATTGGGATCACAAGGCATTTCCTCCATCAACTGTCTTGCCTTTCTTAAGTGCCCTTTTCTTGCATAGAGGTCTACCAAGCAAGCATATTGATCAAGCTCAGGAACCAGCCCATAATCCCTCATTTTGTTGAAATATTCTATCCCTTTGTCCAGAAACCCAGCATGATTGCAGGCAGTCAATATAGCAGTAAAGCAAATATGATCTGGTGTGTAGTCTTCACTGATCATCAAATGCTTGAAGAGTTGCAAAGCATCTGATGCCCTGCCACTCTGAGCATAACCCATGATCATTGAAGTCCATAATACACTATTCTTTTGTACTGTTTGATTGAAAACTTCATGAGCCTCATCTATAAAGCCACACTTGGAGTACATGTCAATCAAAGCAGTAACTACAAACACATTGCGTTCAGAGCCCATTTTAATAACTAAAGAGTGCACCTGTCTTCCTTGTTGTAGAACAGTTAGGCTACTGCAGGCATGCAAAATGCTAGTTAAAGAGTGATCAGTTGGACTGAGATTCTCCTTCCTCATCTTCATAAACAGTTTCAATGCTTCTTCACCACATAGGTTCTGAGAATACCCTGATATCATGGAATTGAGTAGGACATTATCCCACTCTGTAGTCTCCTCAAACAGCAGAATAGCTGGATCCATCCGTCCACACTTTGAGTAACTATCAACCAAAGCACTGGCCACATAACCATTAGTATTAAACCCAAGTTTGAGAACATGAGCATGGAGCAATGCAGTCTGCTCAAATGGATTTTCAAGCCCTGTAGATGCACTAATAGCACTAGCATAGGTAAAACAATTCGGTTTAATGTCAGTACACATCATCTTCCGAAATTTTGAAATGGCTTCCCTTCCATGTCCATTCTGGGATAACCCTGCTATAATTGAGGTCCAAGAAACTTGATCATGCTTTTTCATGCCATCAAATAGCCTTCTTGCAGCAACAATTGCACCACACTTAGCATATAAATCAACAAGTGCACTGTTCAAAATTAAATTTTCTTCATACCCAGTCCTAACAATGTAGGAATGAATTTGCAGACCAAGGCACCAGTTAAGTGCTTTTGCACAAGAATTAAGAGCAGTGCAAAGAAGGAACCTAGTTGGCTTTGTACCCGATGCATTTATATGACAGAAAACCTCCAGTGCCTCATGTGCATTGCCATGCTTAGCTGATACAGTAAGGAAGATTTTTCAGTTAACAGTCTAAACTACTAGCCATAAAAGTTTTTCACAATGAATCAAAAAATAGAACCTCACCTCTTTGGGGAATTTTGTAGAACAGATGGTGTGCACCTGATGATAAGAACCTGTAGCAGTACCATAGCGGCAAGTCCTCATGCAGGCAGCAGGCAATCCAAGTGCACGAATGATAATTAGCATATGAGAGCATCTAAAACATAAAGACACGAAATTGCTTCTGTTTCGAAGTTGTCATCAGCTCCGCTCCAAAGAATTATTTGAACAGGCGAAATCCTGATCCACCCCTCGTTTTCTTCTATTGTTTTTAGTGCGTATTGAAGCTTCCTAATGAACTTTACAACTGTGAAGTGATATCCTCCGGCCACAAGCGACTCCTTTTAACTTTGAAAATACAGGGTGGGTTTTGGATTTACTGCAAAAAAGATTGAAACTTTATACAGATCAACAGGAGAATGCTCAGGTCGCTCCACCTTTGAGACAAAGTAGGGATTTGTAAGGAATAGCCAAAATCAAGCTCATAAAATATACCCTTTAAATTTTGCATGATGAGATTCTTGCTGGTCCGGTTCGCGTGCGTTTACTCCTTATTTTCGTAGGAGAAAGATAAACCAGTACTCAAAAGATTATTACATGAAAGTCATTTTGAAAACATGAGCTCATATTAACTTGAATGAGTTTTCAGATTACAATGGCTGAAAGTCATTAATAAACAAAGCTACAACGTAAGAATTTGATTTGGGATTAGCACGGATTGTGAATGGTGCTCATTTCAGCCATCAAAACGATCTTTCTTATGATTCAAAATCTACACCAGCAAACAAGCTGCGGTACTGTTACGAACTTTCCCCATAGAAGCTATTTATTCCTCCTGTTGAATCCAGATCTTCAGATTATTGTCATTACTGAGCGAACCAGATGCAATCATGTTCTTAGTGGGGTGACAAGATACGGACAATACTGTGTCAGTATGACCTTCCAGCTTCTGCACAACTTTCCTTGACTGAAGTTCCCACAAGTATACGCAACTATCCTCTGAACCGCTAACAATATACCTCCCATTGGTGATAGAGAAGGTAGATGAAATGCAGTACTTTGAATTCACATGGCCAGTGTATGTTTTCAAAAATTTCCCAGTTGAGAAGTTCCAAAGCCTCTGCATTTATAATGTGATTAATCGTCAGTTATCTAGCATTTCAAATGAGTTAAAAAAAAAAAAAAAACACTAGAAGAAACCCATTGTAAAATTGTAAAATTGATAGTTTATAACAGCCCAAACTATCAAATTTTCTTTCATATATTTTGATTGTCATGTCTGCGTAACATTTAGACACATGAAAATACATGTTTATAGGAGAATATATCCATTAGAGAAGAGAATCATGAAGGATAAATTTCTGCTAGGTGAACAGCTTTCAGCAACTAACTTTTTCATCTTCTATAAGAGAACCAAACTTATATATTGCCAGGAATGTCTACTAACGAACTTCACCAGGTTCGAAGCAACAACTACATGAGAATGCTCGATGCTCAAAAGTCTAAATCAAACATTTCAAATATTTTTCCCAAAACTTCACACTGGTACAAATGACATGGTTCCTAAGATCCAGTTTAAGCTGCATTGATGAGCAAGGGACATGTGCAGAAGGTAGAATTGAATTCCAAGTGAGTCAAAAATATGACCAACAGCTGTTTCTTATGGGTACATTTGAGAGGCCACAGGGTAAGGGAGGGGAGATTAGAACCATGGATCTAACCTCTTGAAGGCGGACTACAACCATTTTACCAAACATGGATTTTATAACTTTATAATCTAGCAGAATTAGGCAATATTAACTAGTTGCATGGACTAAATAACACAGACCTCTATTCTTGATGGGACACCACACTAATAAGGGGAATTAGCAATAACAAAACAATGAACACACTATGAAGTTCTCATTAAAGTGTAGGAAGGAAACTCGACAAGACAGGAGGGGAGACAAAAATTAACAATCAGATGCCAAATTTCATAGAACAAAAGGAAGAAGAGAGAAAGAAGAAGGAGAGCAGAGCGGGCCTGAACAAAGAAAAACTAATAAATCAGTGATCAGAGATTCAAAGTTAACCTTCTGTTTCCTTACTTCAAAAGTTGAATCCTGTTACTTTTAATTCCACAAAAATTCCTATTCCACACCATCTATTTACTCTATAATTTCAACAAATAGGTCAAAGGCACCGCCTTTAAGACACCAACAACACCCTCCATTCAACTGCAATCCTCCATCTGAGCTAAACTATCAAACTTTTGAAGGTAACACAATACCAGCAGTAGTATTCTAACTAGAAACAACAAAAAGAAAGAAAGTACTTACCAACGCATTATCCAGAGACCCAACAAGAATAAACTTCCCATTGGGTGAGAACTTAACATAGGACACTGGGGGATTCTCATCGTCAATCAGCGTCTTAATACAATGGCCAGTCCCTGCATCCCAAATCCTGCATAACCCATCATAACTGCTAGAAACAATCATAGACCCATACCTGTCAAAATCAACCGCCGTCACTGGATCAGAATGAGCAGGCAAAACCTTCAAGCACTTGCCGGTCTTGACGTCCCAGATGCGGACAGTTTCATCAAAAGACCCAGAAACAATCATATTAGACTGCGGATTAAAGTTGACGCAAAAGACGTAGTTAGTGTGACCCTGAAGTGTTTTGATGAGCGAGCCGGTGGTGACGTCCCAGAGACGGAGGGTCTTGTCGTCGGAGGCGGAGACGAGGAAGCGGGAGTCGGAAGAGAAGGCGACGTCGGAGACGCCCTGTTCATGGCCGGAGAATTCCTGAAGAGGAGAGAGAATGTGATCGGTGGAGACGGAGTAAGTCCGGAGGGTTTTATCGGCTGATGCGGAAACAAGGAGGTTGCCATCGGAGGAGAACTTGAGGGAGGAGACGCCGCGCTTGTGGGGGGTTAGGGTTTGGGAGAGGGTGTAGGGTTTGAAGGATTCTACTGGGTCCTCAGCCATGTCGGGTATTTGGTATCCTGCTTAGGCGAATCCAGGACCCTGGCGATTTCGCTGAACAGCAAGAATTGAAGTTCAGGCAGTATTGTATATAGAAAAAGTGTACCGTAGTTGATACATACTACAATCATTAGATTGAGGTGGAGTTTTAATATTTGAGATGTTATTTTATTTAGTAATTTAATATAATTTAAATTGTAAAATAGAAGTTTAATTGTATATTACTTTTTTTTATTTATAGAAGAGTTATTTTTTTGGTAATATATTTATAGAAGAGTTACCTTATAAAAATTTCAAAAATGAATATTTCATTTTAATTTTAAATTAAAAAATTTTAAATTAAAAAATTTTAAATTAATAAATATTAATTTAGTTAAGCTCTATTTTTAATGCATTATTAGGTGTTATTGTAAAATTATAAAGGGTATGTGATACGGTTTAAAAGGTAAAATTTTATTAAATAAAAGTTTTTTAAGTAAGTTTTTAGAAAATTAATATATAAATTTTTTTTAAATTTTGCTTAAAAATTATTTCAAAAATTAATTTTTACTTTTCTTCTTATAAAATTTTAAACTTTTTAAAAAAACTTACTTATAATATTATAGACATCTATTTATTTATTTAAATATATATTTCTCCCCCTTCCTTTTACCCAAAAAAAGAAATTGAATTTACATATCAATGTTGACGACATTATAAACATGCAACTCACCCACGGCCAGAATCGGCACAGTATGAAAAAGGAAAAATAGACCAGAGTTACACCATGAGCTAATTTTGGTTGGTTAACCTTTGGTCTATTATCACATTGGTTTCAGAAAATTTTATTTTCTTTCAAAACTGGCCTAAAACCATTAAAAAGTGGATCATGTCAAAATGATATATTTGTCAAATTTCGTGAGATGAGATTAATAGATTACTACATTTACTTGAATTCAATCAGATAATTGTTTTTGGTGGATATGTACAGACACACCACATGACAAACTACATTCCGCTACTTCCAACTCAGTAGACATGCTACCTCACACCCCACCCCTTTTTCTTCTTTTTTTTTTGTGTGCGTGTGGGGAAACATATCATCTGACAGTTCTTCCTAAACAGAAATTCTCCAGACCAATACTAAGCCGATGTACATTGAGAGAAACCAATGAAAAAATAGACCGAGCACTGAAAGGTAAAAAAAAATACATCACTAAACAAAATTGGAGTGATGAACATCAGTTAACAGGACCTTGGGATCCAAAAGAGATTGCCTGTTTGGTAGTTAAAGGAGGAATGCTGAAAGAATTTGGATAGCTTAAGGCTATGGTGTTTTAAAAAATATCGTTTGAGCAGTTTGTAGCAATGCCCTGTTCAGATGGGCTAAATTCCAAAAAACCAGCAGTTATACCATGACCTGTTATAGTTTCTTTGAATGCATCTTGGTTGCCATTCATTCCAGCTGGAGGGTTCTTTTGTATATAATGCCTCAAAGCATTGTCCCATGCATCCTGAGCAAGAAACTACAAGTTAGGAGAAAGTATAACCATGGATATGAGATGGGGAACTAAATCACTAAGATGAATGCATTGGTTGTATGTGCTACAGAAGAGGGTCTGAACCTTTGAAACTTGTGCTAACAAGTAGTAGAAGAACGGGGATAAGATCAGTACAAGTTAAAACCTATTGAATGCTGCATCTGCACTTCATATAAACTCAAAGGCATGGCAGATCACAGGGGGTAGAACAAGGGAGGCTGAGAGGAGGAAAATGCAAAAATACAAAATTGGCAAAGAAAATGCTACCTTTTGTCCCTGGTGAAAATCAGAACTGAGAGATGAAGCTAAAAAATAGCTTTCTCCAGGTGAAGAAGACTGAGTTTTCGTCTCAGGAAAGGATTTGCGCACATCTCTGCAATGTTTATCAGATATGCCAAACCAGGAGACTGGCTTGCTTCCAGTCCAATTATCAGAACTCTTCCTCAATCCAACATATGGTGATGTAGGGTGATCGTGAGCCAGCAAGTAGTAGGAACTATGACTCTCCTCTCTGCAAATTGTGGGAGATATGTCCCAATGCCCACTGGAAAGTGACCTCAAACCAAACTGTTGATAGTTTTGGAAGGTGTGAGTCGATCTTGAATGCCACTGACTGATACAACCACCACACTTGAGAGCAGCAGGTGATAGCTCAGTATCTGAAAGCCCCACAGAGTGCGGCATCTTCCAGTCTTCAATAGTTATTCCCTGCTTGGCAGCAAGGTCCATTATCTGTTTCTCATCAAGTCCTAATCCCATGAGCAAGTTCCAAAGGTTTCTTTGGGCTTCTCGTTGGTTGTGAATGATTTGATCCCTCATTGCCATTTCAAACTGAAGCTCAGTATTAGCCATTCCCTATATTCACACAATTAAACTATATTAGTCTTCTGTGGTATGGGCAATGGCTTCACATATGAAGCTTTGTCAATATTGGGAACTGAAGTCCATGATTTCTTTTAGAATGTAACCAGTATCAGTAAGAGAAAACTGCCCACATCATGCATCTTTGTAAACAACAGGTTTACATGTCTTAACTTGAAAAGAATTGAAAAGAATTGGTAGAAACTAGGAACATACTTCACAATTGTTACAAAGATATATATGTCAGTACCAAAGTTAATTAGATTAGTGTCTACTCACCAGAAGCCTATACTGACTTAGTATGCGCAAGTAGGTTTTGTTCCCATTGTTAGTTATGGCTTCCTCAATCATATCCTGAAGTTGGCATCGCTGCTTCTCATTCGCTTTAATTTCCTATAAAAACATAAGTTAGTGATATTAAAAGCAATAAGCTTAAACTTTATTACTTAAGCATTACCAAAGATCACCTTTTGGTAATTGACACCAGCCTCATCATTGTCACGGATGTTGTCAAGAATATCTTGTCTCCTTGCTCTCAAGGCTTCTACAACTGCTCCATCTTTTTCAATAGCCTGTGGCACACAGGAAGGAAAAATAGGGGCACTCTTCTCACTAAAATAATAAGGTGATCACACCATTACTCTACCAGCAGAACAATGGCCCCAAACAGAAATGGAAGAAAACAAACATTTATTTTGTGAAGAAAAAAAAAAAACCCTTTTACATTCTTCGGAACAGAAAAAGAAGCATAAAAGGATTGTGGTTTAGGAAAGATTTTTTCCCCTTGAAGGAAGAAACAGAAACGGCAATTTTCAAATTTGCAAATATATCTTCTAACGAACTGCTGGGACGTCAAAGTAGGTAAAGAAGCAAACTTCACACTTACCATTTATCACCCTAGGGGCATAAGAGGATAAGTGCAAAAGGAAACATAGGAGTGAAAATGTTAAAAATTACTCATATATAGACATGAAGCTGCTTAGGGCAGTTAACCTGTTGCTTTGCAATAGCATCATCGAGATGCTGAAGTTCAGTGCGGTTGCGAAGGTTGGTTTCCTCCAGTTCAAATAATGCCTTCTGTAAGTTTATGCGTTCCTGAACATTTTCACTTATTTCATGGCTCAAAACATTCAACCAAGACAGCTCATCATCAGCCACCTTTTCAGCTGGTTTGATACTCAACTGTGTTTCTTTTTCAGCAAGTTCTTTCTTCAATCGGCAAACCTCAATCTGCACAATCAACTAAGTTTAGATATATTGTAGCCAGCCATGATATGGATGAAGATCTCTGGAGCAGCTTACCTGAAGACTGTCAATCATCCGCTGATAATCTGATACATGTGTATCAATTGTGCCAATGTTTTTCTAAAAGTGATTAACAAGGAAAGGAAGAAAATTAGATGAAACATTCTTAGAATTAATATCAGCAACCAAGCATGTTTGTTTTCTCAAGAGCTGCCAGCTGCTTTTGAATTAAAACCTAGGGAAGAAAGTAAAACAGCAAGGAGACAGATAATTTATGCAGATTCTAAAGCATTATCTGGCATGGGCTACAGAGATGAGAAAATAAGCATATTTTGTCTAAAGATAGTTGCATTCATGCAAGGGAATGACAATAACTCTTATAAAGACACTCAATCCAGTTGTTCTCAAGAAGACAAAATTGAATATATTTCTGAAAAAACTATATCAAGTCTCACCTGTATGTGTGTCTTTATTTCCTTTGCTCTGTCTGCATATTTCAAGGTATTCACAGTGTGATGATATTGACTATTGGCTGGTGATACCGTCGCAACCATCACTGTTTGAGAATTACCACTCAGACTATCTTTGAGTATCCGTGTAAGTTTACTGCAGAAACATTGATGTTAGTCACATAAACAAAAGGAACTCAGGATACAATAGCAATAGCAACCATCAGATACCTATTGCGGTATGGGACATAAGCAAGACCCTTCTTTTGTTGTTTCCCCAAAGCATTTATACAGTTTGCTAAAGCAAGAAGAGAACGATTAATGTTAGCTCCATCCCTCAGCTTTTGGCCCCCACTATTTGTTTCAGAAGCTCGTTCACTGCCAGCAAGATCCACCAGTGCAAGTTTTCCTCTCATGACTTGATTTCTATACTTATTTCTCTGTTTTCTTCTTACATTAATCTCCAAAACCGCATGCGATCTACTTGAATCAAGAAACTTTAAATGAGATCATGCAAAAAGGTTTTAGTGCATTGAAAGACTGCTGCAGGATAGTGCTTCAAGTGTCATAACAGGAATGTTCAATGTGATGATAAACCTACAAAACACAGCAACAATGTGGTTCTAGTAGTTTTTGTATGCTATTCTAGTATTCTTGATGCTGCTAAGGGTTAGGATATTTTACATTTGTATTCTGTATTGAGATTTTGCAAGTTCCAGAAAACAACCTTCAAACATCTGGTGAACCAACCTAACTGAAAACTCAATTCTGTGTTTAATGATTTTGTCTTATTAGTGGTAGAGAAATAAATTTGTTAGAAACAAACGTAGGTCTATTAAACCATGTTTCCTCCAAAGATGAAAATAAGGTTGGGTATAAGATTGAATATATCTAACAAAAAATATTTAGCTATATATTGGATAATCACCAGCTTCCTATAAGGCCTGAAGCTGAGGGAAGTAAAAGGAAGGACAAAAGTAGGGTTTCACTTTCTTCTTTTTCTCCATTTCTTTTTGTCACCGTGTGAAAATTGGGTAGGAGTTGGACTTGTGCCTAGAATGTTTCAGCTTCCATGCAATGAAATTTCTATGACGGCTTTAGAATTCTAGAATGAAAAAGTAGTTTGGAAGCCAAATTAAAGATAAACAATAATTTCATGGAAAAAAAAATCAACTACTGCTAACCGTGAGGATGTTGCATTAGCCTCTGTACTTTCTGTTTTCCTTCGACTATTCCCCAAATTTAGAAGTTCAAGAATCTTGTCAGCTGAATGGACCTGAATGGGGAAACATCACCAAGGATTATAAAGAATCCGATAGTAGACATCATAGTAACTCACTGCATCCAAAACTAGAACACTGAGTGATAAAGGACA